TTCATACAGCTGTTTCATGTTTAAGTATTTTGAGATTGTTTCAGTTAAGACAATGCCAAAACCTTTGCCCAATTCAATACATTTTTCTCTACAGTAGTTGCGACAGAGCACAATCGCATCGTAATGTTCAAGGATCCGGTAGAAGGCAAAGTACTTCCGGGTCACGTGATAAGGACAGAGAAAGTGGCAAATGTAGGAAGCTGCCGTAAGAAGTGTTTCTTGGAGCCTAACTGTGAGTCCATAAATGTGGGTCCTGCCGACCACCAAGGACAACGCACCTGCGAGTTAAACAACTTTAGAGATGAAAGTCCATCTCAGACTAAGTTGCAGGAAAAGACAGGCCACATTCACTGTTCAATTGAGGTAACACATTACAATAATATTAATAATGATATTAATAATAATATTAGTTGTGAAGGGTTGAGAAACATCTTAACTGAGACGATCATCTTATGCGACAAACACCAAAACGTAAATTCGTTTACGTTTAACCATCTGTTCATAGCTGGCTCTTTTTTCTTGCCTCCTGGAACCGGGGTGTAGGGGCGGGGGGTGGGGGGAGGGGTACTTCGGAGTTCTACTTCTATGACTTATAACTTTAAAACCCCTCACGAGAAGGCTACCAAAACTACACAGAATAATGGAGAAGTCATTTCCAGCATCTAGGCATAACTTGATTAACACAATGACGTAATGGACTTTCATCAGTTTTCCTCAGATAAAATGTCTGACAAAATCATGAAGGCCGCTAACACTTTAACAATAGCAGTGACGTTAAGATTACGTCATTTATTATTAACGAAGAAACTGGATTCATCATCAGCAAGCTTGGATCTGTTGTCATTTTGCTTGAAACCCGTATAAATCTAGGCAATTGGATTTGAAATTTGATCTATGTATGAAAGGAAGCAAAAAATCTGCAAGTGATAAAATTCCGAGGGAAATGAACACTGTGAAAAATTGAACCCAACATCTGCCATTTTGGGTCATAATTAGCCTGTTCACAGACCTTTTTTTTTCTCTTCAAAGTCCGTAGAGCGTGGGTGATAAAAGAAAATAGAAAATAGAAAAATAATAATAGAAAATAGACAGCAGGGGATTTATTGACCGCCAGCGTAAGGGGGTAGTGCATGGTGGGGGAAGAAGAAAATTCTATCTCGCGCTCCGCGCTCGTTTTGCTCGCGGCCTCGCCGATGTCTTCCAAAAAAGAACGAAAAAAAATAAAACAACGTCTGTGTACAGGCTAGGTCTTTATGGAATATTCCCAGGCAATTTTAAGTTTGGCGCTCGTCACTTCTTGAACGGTTTTAAATTAACGTTGTTCAACTTTAACTCTGAATAGCGTTAAGATGTATTAGATAAAACTGAAGCTGGTGATTATTAATGCAAAACAAAAGTACAAGTCAGCAACATAAATTAAGACGTAAAAAGAGAGACATCTGCAAACGTTTTGGCAAGTAATCACCATCACTAGTAATGATAACCTCGCATCCTATCTTTTATTTTTGTATACGTTGATGGATTATCTGGTCTGAGGAGAGAAAATGTTATTGAATAATTAAATTATGTCTCTCAACAGAACTTTTTTCACAGTATCCCACGCCCTGGAAAGAATTCCTTCTGTAAGGTAGGCCACGGAGATAAGTGCTACCGATGGATTTGCCGTGATGGTTTCAAAGGCCAAAACTGCGACGAAGGTAAGCGGGCTCGCCGGTCAGGTTGACTTTGTTGATTTCTATGTCAATTGGTGTTAGTACATTGCCCTGACTCACCATCCGGACATCAACTTGCTTATTCAACGAGCCTCGTGGGCCAGGATTTTAAAGTTTTTTTTTTTTTCATTCTCCTTTTGATATATTATTGTCTCAACGTGTAGGTAAGGGCTTATATTAATGGTGGCCAGATAATACCTGACGATGGCAGAGTCCTCCGACATATAGGACTTTTCTTATCGGGTACGTTTGCCACCCTGCATTCCACCCACAACCTGAGGAGACAAATGTCAGCTTTTTTCGGGCAATGTGCATGTCTGCTGATCCCTCATTCCAACCTTGGCTGCATATCGCCCATCTGCTAGGATGATTGTCATTTCTTACATATGTAGCGAGTGGGAAATAAGACCCCCCCCCTCCTCCCCCCTCAAGCATGCAATTATAACTTAAGTAAGCACGGGTATTAAAACGCGCGAGGTCTGTATTGTTGTGAGAGTCCGCCATATTGTTCTCGTCTTTTTGTTTTGTGATGTTTGTTTACGGGCCTGTCCAAGAGAAAAAGGAAACAAACAAAAAAGTAGTAGAAAATGTACTTGCCGGGAAAGGTGGTGAATGGTCGCGAAGACTACGAGAGTAGTGTTTTGATCAAATGAAGCAAACAATGGAGGTCGATGATGCACAAATATATGCAGGTTCAAAGCTACCTTTGCCAGCTTGGTGTGGAGGACCTCAAAGGAATCTCTAAAGATTTAGGATGTAGCCATAGCGAAGAGGCGGGGGAAAAGGTCGGAAAAAACTGGTGACATTAATCGAACATCGACTGAAAGATCAGTTGAAATTACAAGGTACTACCGAGGACAAAATGGAGCACTTGGAGGAGTGTAGGAGCCAAATTGTGATACACACCCCGAAATGTCCGTCACTGGAAAAGCCAGCATTAGGCAAATCTCAGTCACCGCCGAAAATGGTAAGCACGAGTTAATCGATACTAAGCAGAAGTTTGAAGAGAGTAAACAGAAATTGGTAGCCGGAAAATCGTTGTACTTCCAGCCTAGTGATTTCAAAACGGAGCTGAAAATAATTGGCCAGTTAGGGGAGCCTGGACAGAAAGAAAAACTAAGCTAATTTGTGAGCCTAGCAAGACAAATTGAAGGAGCGATAAAGAAAGTGTATAAGTCCTCCGAAGTTGTAGATGCTGTTATATGTCCATTAACCCTGGGATTAGACTGAAAAGTTATTTGGGAGGGATGGGAGTCTTGACTCTTTCTTGGTTAAGACGATCTTGAGATCTCATTACCGGGAGAAGAGTGAAACTAAACTTTATCAAAAAGTTGCAGGAGCCACAAAAGAGTCCACAAAACTTCTTATCAGAGCTTTGGACCCTAGACAAATGATCCCTTTTGCCCCAAAGTAGACACTGAACTTAAGTGCTACCCTAACCTGGTTCAGGGGATATTTTTGCCTGCAGTAGATACAAATCTTATGTAGGATTCAATCCGCAGTAGATGAAGGCTCTTTTTAAAAAACAGGGGTAAAGGATGAAGATTTAATTAAGCTCATGAATGTCGTGGTGTCGTAGGATATGTAGAGGAGATCCAAGCTAGGATCCCTCGCCCGTCAAAAAAGTTCAACGGTTAATGAGGTCGATGTATCACGAGTAGAAGGGGTTGCTCAACCGGAAGTGACTGACCTAAAGGTGAAAGTAGCTGAGAAGGACAGGTCCAGAAAAGATAAGTTCATGTCTTCACCACAAGCTGTTCGCCAACCTGAAGCTGGATTCAGTGAAAAGGAATCAAGCTAATACAGGAGGGGTTTCTTAGGCCTCACCATCATATCAGAATCAGCAGTGGATCAGCGATCAATAAGCTGTCCCAGTTGTGAAGCAGGAGGGAGAAGGCAGTTGTGTTACCATTGTCATGGTTGTGGTAGCATTGATCACTGGGCTCGTGGCTGTCGTAAAAAGGTATAGTAGCAGCGTGAAATCAGGTCAAGGAAACAGACGAGGGCTACAACCGAGGGACATAAGTAGCTCCACCTAAGGACACCTTCAGTAAGACCCACAAATGTTTGAATTGTGAGAAAGTTGCTAGGACTGGTCAATGTTTTTATGCAGTGCTCAGGATGCAAGTTAGTGCGGTATTGTGGACGTCAATGTCAGAAATGCCATTGCAGCAGTCACAAGTGTCTTTGTCAAGCCATCCAGCAACTGAAGGCAGAGAGAGCTTCTCAAGGAATACGCGGCGATGGTTATTCATTTTTCAGTCATCTTACACCTACCCAGCAGTTAACAGTAACCAAGCTTGCTGGTTTGAAGTAGAGTAAATTGTTGTGTATGTTGAGTGGGGGTGACTGTTGAGGTATTTCATAAGTAGGTTGAGGTACTGTGGGATACAGGGACTCAGGTGTCCATAGTATTAAAGAGCTGGTTTAGTGAGGATCTACTATTATTAGAGTTAAGGAAGATTGAAGAGATGTTAGGAAGGGTGAAGGACTGGACTTAAGAGCAGCAAAAGGTGGAGTAATGCCTTTCACAGGATTGGTGGAAGTAGTATTACCTCTGACGTTCAAACGTCTGTACTTTTAACAGTACCAATGCTGATTTCAAGAGACGAGGTAGGGTACCCAATCATTGGTTACAATGTTATGGAAGAGATGATCAGGAATAAGGGACAAGGAAGGGGCAAGGGAGCAATTGTCGACATTATGAGTTTTGCCTTGGTGGATGTGAATGTGGAGAGTGTTAGTTAATTGGTGGAGTTTGTGCAAGGTCAAGTTAAAGAAAGCTTGTGTTTTTGAGGAGTGGTAAACAGTCTAACAGTACCAGAGGGACAGACGGTGGCGGTTCTCTGTTATGTCAGTTGTGGCCCACTAGAGAGAAGAACATCGGCGGTATTTGAGCCAACCCCAGATGAAGCCTGGCATGTTGACTTAGAAGTCCCAGAGCAACTGCTCACCTTGCCACGAGGGATACCCAACAGAGTGAACATTGCAGTTCGTAACCCACCAGGCGTAACGTAGTTCTTGGTAGACGTAGTTCTTGGTCTTAGTCCTTACACCAATGGAAGTGGTTAGGAAAGATTAAAGCCAGAGAATTAGTAGTGTCCAGAAAAGTTCTCTCAGGAGAGTCATGTTGGTGACATTAGTAATGACCAAAAGAGAGACGAGACGTCTTTAAAGACGCCACAAGTGAAACTAGGTGACCTTACTGACAGCCAGTCAAAGATAGCGATGGAAATGATGACTGACGAAGCCGAATCATTTGCTCAGAATGATGATGATGTAGGATGTATTGAGGGACTACAATTGAATTTAGAACTATCAGGCACCTCTCCAGTTCAGAAGATGTGTACTTCTATACTCCGCCCGATGTATGCAGAAGTCAAGCATTACATTGAAGACTTGATTACGTGCTCGGTACTCCTCACCCGTTGCATGTGAAGTATGGTTGTTGTGAATAACTGTTAACCAGTTAGGGCACACCATTGATCCCAGGAACACTGAAGCTGTCACCAAGCTAGCAGACTCTAATACAAGGACTAATGCAAACGTTCGATAAAGTTAACAGATCTGTTGAAATACTATCCAGATATATCGAGCAGTTTTCAAGGATTGCAAAGCGTCTCCATGATATTGCTAAGGAGCCTGAAATGAAATGGATATTCAATGTCAGAAAGCAACAGGGGAACGTCACAATTTTCAAATGCAAAGAGGCAGGTATCATTCCGTGATATGCGACCATTAACAACAGCCAACAAACAATGAATTTATATTAAGGTTCTGGTTTCCTGCCATAATTTAGCAACCTAAGCAGGTGAATTTGCAAATTAGCTTTTCCATCGTTTAGAAGAATGCTGTGGTATGGTGCCATCCAGAACAACACCCTTCCATTCCAAGGGAATGGGAAAAAAGAGAGGCTCAACCAGACAATTCTATCCATGTTACGCACCTCGCCGGGAAACCAGAAATCTCGGTGGAACGACAGTCTTAATAAAGTTATACATGCCTATTATTGCACCTGTGATGAGGCCACTGGATTCTGTCATTATTACCTGTTGTGTGGTCAGTACCCAAGACTTCTGATTGATCCTATTTTAGAATTAAGCCTGCTTCTCCCACAGAATATTTAGCTCATGTCAGAGAATGGACAACAGCCATGAAAGAGGCTCACGAGTTAGCAACAAATAGATCTAGATTATCTGGGATGAAAGGAAAGAAGCATTATGAGGGCAAGGACCACAGTCCTGTTCTACGGCCAGGTGACAGAGTCAGTAAGGAATGTACGTGAAAGAGGAAGATCTGAAAAATTGCGATCTTACTGGGAAGAGGCAATTTATCGATTAATCAATCGGAAATGCGAAGAAAGCCCATTTACGAAGTTGAAGCCGTATCAGGCGAAGGACCGCGTCGTGTGATACACAGCGGTCTGATACTTCCATGCAGTGACTTAACCTTTGAAAGAAAAACGGGGGATCCAGCCAGGAGACCGAAGCAGAAAAGGAAGATTACCAGACCAGCTGTTTTGTCCACCCCCATCCCAGCCTCAGAAACCAGTTCAGACGAAGGGGCTTAGGGTATACTGACCTTAACGGCAGTGGGAAAAGAGACTGCCCCACATCAGAAACCTGTGGTCGAGGATCCAGTGACAAATGATGAATTTTCCTAGCAGTCAGTTGAGCAAGAAATACCCGCACCCACAAAACAAGGAGATGAACGTATATAAGCAAGCAAAAGGATTTCGTAATTCTTTCATTAAGCATGTGCACCGCTTTAAATCAATCAATAAATAAATACATAAATAAAAGAAACCGAACGTGTCTAGATCAAAATTGGAGATAAACATTCGCAGCACAGCACAGCTAATTTAATCTATGAAATATTAAAAAAAAAGTCTAACCTTGAAGAAAAAGATCTTCCCTCGTCTCCAAGTCGCACTGAAGTGTTACAAAAATGTTGACGAAACTGTGCAACGCAAATATTCGTTAAAAGCAACTGAAAATGCACGCGCAATGTAACGTTCAAATAAAATTCAAAACAAGGAGGTAACGTTACATGTGCTCCCTCTTCCTCAGTGCATGTTTTAAATCAACTGAAAAGTGCACGCGAAAGGTATCCTGCGAATAAAATTTCAAAACCTAGACGTAACTAAACATGAGCGAGCAGACTTTGAGAGGTTCAAATAAAATTAAAGTCCATATTCAGTCCAGCTGGGTCTAGTGTCCGGTAGGTGAAGATCATTCTGCACTTGAATATCATTCGGCATTTGATGGCATAAACCACGTTTTCGCTGACACAAGGAACGGTATGAAACACGCTGAGCATGATGTATTGAGACGACAAGGTGCTATTTTTACGTTTCGAAAGGTTATTATTAGATGCCATCGACCGTAGCCCCTTCGGACACCTCATGTTTTTTACACAACGTAGTTTTCCTCTTTAGTAATTAGGGTTAAGCACTACCCTTTACTGATTAGGGTTAAGCACTGTTTCCAAACTGGTTAGGTTCTTTTTCGGGGGGTCGGGGCTGGTGCTATATGTACTTAAATTATTTCCCCTCCATCCTACAAATCCTCAGTGGTCTGGAGGTTAGCATAGCAAACTGGGTCTTCTAGGTCGTGGGTTCGGATCCTACTGTTTACCCTAATCATTATTTTTTTTAATTTTAAATTGAAGAGACTAGCACTTTCACGGACATTTCCAGCTTGAAATATCATCTAAGTGTGATATAAATGCAGAAAGAAGTTCTACCTTGTGTAAATTTCATATGTGGAGAAAGGGGCTCCGGCCAATGGGATCTAATGCTGACCGTTTCAAGACGACTCAGGGCAAGGATTCCGTACGGATTAGGTCTGCCGCCTTGCTCGCTCGCTTCACGATCGCTCAGGCGGCGGCAAAATCGCAAAAGCGCGCAAGGTCTGTCTTGTTGCTAGAGTCCTACGTATTTGTCTAGTCTTTTTGTTTTGCGATCGGCTTACATTTGTCAACGCTATCAGCTTAAATTTAGAACAACCTCCTTGCTTGAAATGGTCTTCACCTGCTAAAGCTTAAGAAACGGTCCAGATAAGAACGATAGCACT